CTGAGGCCAACACTGCTGATGTGTTCACCAAGGCACTCGCGCCTTGTGACCATCAGCGCTTTTGCACCCAGCTGGGTCTTGTGCCTGTCTTGCCTCACTTGCTCTCCTCTTGACTTCACTTGTACTGTGACATATATATATGCCTGCTCTTGTTTGTCTAGTTTAATATATATGTCTGTACTCCTGTATGTGAACTGGCCTCTGGCCCTACTCTTGTGCTCGGACTGTGTGGTGACTTTGTGATCCACCCTGAGCTTGTTTTGCTTTGCTTGACTGGTCTTGTGACCTCTTGTTCTCCCCCACTTTGCCTATGGGGGTGTGTCAGATTTATATGACATAGTTTCTGTAGGCTATAGTGGGGTAGCACATATGGGGTACAGGGTTTCTAGGGTTGTATTTGTACCCAATCTTCCATAGTCATTTCCATTCCTGTTTTCCTTATTTCACAAATGCGGCAGAGCGCGCGCGCGTGCGCACGAGAGAGAGAGAGAGAGAGAGAGAGAGAGAGAGAGAGAGAGAGAGAGAGAGAGAGAGAGAGAGAGAGAGAGAGAGAATGCGGCAGAGCAAGAGTGAGAGAGAATGCGGAAGAGCGAGAGTGAGCGAATGCGGCAGAGCGAGAGAGAGAGAATGCGGCAGGGCGTGAGAGAGAATGCGGCAGAGCGCGCGCGCGCGCACGAGAGAGAGAGAGAGAGAGAGAGAGAGAGAGAGAGAGAGAGAGAGAGAGAGAGAGAGAGAGAGAGAGAGAGAGAGAGAGAGAGAATGCGGCAGAGCAAGAGTGAGAGAGAATGCGGAAGAGCGAGAGTGAGCGAATGCGGCAGAGCGAGAGAGAGAGAATGCGGCGGGGCGTGAGAGAGAATGCGGCAGAGCGCGCGCGCGCGCACGAGAGAGAGAGAGAATGCGGCAGAGCGAGAGAGAGAATGCGGCAGGGCGTGAGAGAGAGAATGCGGCAGAGCGAGAGAGAGAGAGAATGCGGAAGAGCGAGAGTGAGCGAATGCGGCAGGGCGAGAGAGAGAGAATGCGGCAGAGCAAGAGTGAGAGAGAATGCGGAAGAGCGAGAGTGAGCGAATGCGGCAGAGCGAGAGAGAGAGAATGCGGCAGGGCGTGAGAGAGAATGCGGCAGAGCGCGCGCGCGCGCACGAGAGAGAGAGAATGCGGCAGGGCGAGAAAGAGAATGCGGCAGGGCGAGAGAGAGATGTCAGAATATTATCTTATTGTTCTAGCCTGTAGTGGGGTGCTCTATAGCGAGTACAACCCTTCTAGGGTTTGCTATTTGTATCCTCATTCTTGCTAGTTCAATCCTCTTTCTTCCTTCTAATTTTGACATGGTATCAGAGCAGGTCGATCCCCTTGGATCGATCCTGTGGGTGTGTCCCCACCTTGCTTCCGCTGCTACCTTTCCTTCCCGCCGTGCGCCCCGAGGCGCGCGGCGATTTTTTTCCTTCCCGCCGTGCGCCCCGAGGCGCGCGGCGGTTTTCTGCCCGCCGTGCGCCCTAGGGCGCGCGGCGGTTCTTTGCCCGCTGTGCGCCCCGAGGCGTGCGGCGGGCGTCTGCTCTACGTCGCGGCCCCGCCCTACGTCGGGCTTCTCCCCTACGTCGCGGCCCCGCCCTTCGTCGCGGCCCCGCCCCTCGACGCGGCCCCGCCCTATGTCGCGGCCCCGCCCTGCGTCGCGGCCCCGCCCCTCGAAGCGGCCCTGCCCCGACCGTCGCGGCCCCGCCCCACCTTCGCGGGCGTCTGCCCTACGTCGCGGCCCCGCCCCGACCGACACGGCCCCGCCCGCGTCGCGGCCCCGTCCCTTCGAAGCGGCCCCGCCCCTTGTCGCGGCCCCGCCCTACGTCGCGGCCCCGCCCTGCGTCGCGGCCCCGTCCCTTCGAAGCGGCCCCGCCCCTTGTCGCGGCCCCGCTCTCCTCTCAGGTCCGTCGTGGGCCCCACTCTCCCCCCCCCCCCCCCCCCCCCCCCTCCCCCTACCATTTCCCGTCGTCCGTCGTGGCGACCTGAGGGGTCCGTGGTGGCCCCCCCCCCCCCCCCCCCCCCCTTTCTCCCCTTCCCCCATTTCCCGTCGTCCGTCGTGGCGACCTGAGGGGCGAGCTGTGGGGTGGCGGGTATGGGGGTGGCCGGTGTGCCTTCCTCCCTTTCTCCTCCTCCTCCTTCGTCTCCCACTGCTGCAGCTGTCGCTGAGGGGGGTGGTTGTGTGGGAGACTGGGTTTAGGGTTTTAGGGGGGTGCGTGGGAGTAGAGCTAGTGGTGTAGCAGTGGGTGTGTATCAGGGGGGTGGGACTGTGTGCGGGAGGATGAGCAGAGGTTGCCAGTTTGTCGTCAGCAGCACCTGTAGTCCGGGGCGCTGTCCCGGTAGCCCAGTCGTAGCCAGCTGTGCCAGCCGCCCGTGGGTCCGTTGCCCGTCCGCCGCTATTTAAGCCGCGGGGCCTGTTACCCCTGTAGTCCGGGCGCTGTCCGGTAGCCGCTGTGCCAGTCTGCCTCCTGTTGCCCGTGTGTCTGCAGCTTCAGCCGTCGCCTCCTGTCTCCTCTCCCCTCACTCTCCCTCCTCCTCCTCACTTGCCCGTTGTGACTACCACTAGCTTTGCTTATAATTGTGAACTCTAAACTATTTCTTCTTGAACTTGTGCTCAGAATGTGTGGTGACATTGTGATCCACCCTGAGCTTGTTTTGCTTTGCCTGCTCTGCTGATTACACCCCACTTTGGCTATGGGGGTGTGTCAGAATATTATCTTATTGTTCTAGCCTGTAGTGGGGTGCTCTATAGCGAGTACAACCCTTCTAGGGTTTGCTATTTGTATCCTCATTCTTGCTAGTTCAATCCTCTTTCTTCCTTCTAATTTTGACAAGAGAATGCGGCAGAGCGAGAGAGAGAGAATGCGGAAGAGCGAGAGTGAGCGAATGCGGCAGGGCGAGAGAGAGAGAATGCGGAAAGAACATACATGCTGCTTCCTTATGCTATGTTCGTTCACGCCACGTCAATGTATAACGCAGATTTCCTGATGCAGTTGCCGGCATCTACAACTCAGGATTGACACGGCGTGAGCACTATGTGGGGCGGTAGGCTCGTGAAAGGGAGGGAGGTAAAATTGCCGTCAGAGAGTTCACCTTTTCGCGTCGTGGACACGTATGTGCCCTCTCTCTGGTCCTTTCGCTACCGCGTCACGTCGCTTGTTGCGCCGTTGCTTCAGCTGCTGCAGATTCGTCGCAGCTTAGCGCGACGCGGCTGCTAAGGCGATAAACGGTCGTTGCGTTATCTCTACAATGGAAGCCAGATTCACGTTTCTGAACACAGAGTTGCCTAGATGTCGAGTGAATTATGGAGTGAATCTCAGGGATGGGTGGAGTGTGGAGGGAGGAGTGATGGAGTCGCGCACGAATAGGGCTCTCTTTGACAGCGCGGTATAATGAGGATCAAAGCGGTGACTTGAGGTACAATGTTTTTAATATACGGTGTACAGCGTTCCTGCACGATTCATACGAGATGCACCAATAATTGTGGACCTGAAATGCGTTCTGCTGGCGAATTGATGAACCGTGAGATGCGGGGCATTTTGGCAGAGAATTATATGTTTAGAAACAAACAACAAAAATTGCTTTTCAATAACTAGCTTCGATACAAGACAGTGAACATGTATATGTTAAAACAACAAAACCACATATAAAACCAGTAACTACATCTACAATATCACCATAACAGTACTCAAAATACAGTACACATTCACAACAATAGTTTTTACACGATGGAGAAATGTAATCCAAACATTAGTATAATTGAACAAGTCATTATATAATAATAACATGTTGGAAACTGTGTACAAAAATTATTAATGTTAAGAACACATTATTAAACTCTTGTGGTAACAAAAAAAAGTTAGCAAAAACGAACACCCAAACAAAAACAAAGCACATAGTAAAACTGTTCCATAAATGGCATGACTGCAAATTGGTTACATAAAGAGTTACCGATACTTGGATGACGTGGCAACAATCAACCAACATTTTCTCGCAGAGGAGAAATTTCGTGCGTTGTGTTGGTTGTCAACAAGCCCCACACATCTCCCGATCTATCGCCATATTTGTCTGAGACAGCGGACCAATGAAAACGCTCGTAAGCACCCAAGCAGAAACGCCACGTAAACCATGGTTTGTGGTCCACCTGTACAGTGCGCGACTGTTAATAGAGGTAAATGGTGATCGAGGGGGGTGGGGAGAAAACGAGTAGAAAGGCTTTCGACAATCTGCAGGTATAAACCCAGCACATCCGATGGTAAACTGCCGAGAAGCAGGGTAGTGCGAATTTCACCTCATCAATCATCGAAAATGACCGGCCTCCCAACTCAAAAAAGGACCCCTCGCCCTCCCCCCCCAATACTCGGCAGTTTCACATTTTTCCGATGGAAAACTCGCAACGTGAGTCGGTTTGTCCAGTTAAGGCTCTCAGCGTGCTTCCTCAGGATGATTCTCCCATTTCGAATGGGAGTCCGGAGTCCGCAACTCAGACCATCGCGGAAAAGGGATTGCGAGATTGTTTCCAAAAACTTGCAGAAAAGTAACTTTTAAGATACCTGCTCCCGCAATTTTCAAGTCAAGGTCGAAAGCATCGGAAAGTTGGGTTGAGTTTACGGCAACTTTTCCGACACATTTCAGACACATCTCCGATGCAAAGCGGACACCTGAACGCAACATAACGTATACTTGATTGTCACTTCAATGTAACCTTCCTGGCATGCCACGTGGCACATGTACAGTTTCATGTTCAATGTGTATGTACGACCGTACGTTCGTGAAGATATTTTGCCACGTAAGCATAGATTTTTCGGAAGCTTTTCAGCAGAAAACCCCGTTTTCCGCAATTTAGGGTGAAAACCTTTTCCGCGATGACTCACTTCTCATGAGCAGAGAGAGAAATTGCGCAAACCCGGCTGCCCTTCAAAGTGCGACGTCACACCGCCCAGGCGCGGCATGTGTCGGCAGTGAAGCCCCGTTTTTTTTTTTTTTGGCGGTAAATGTGCTCCCATTTCCCCGTTGTGCCGGCAGTGAAGGTGCTGCTGCAGCTGAAGGAGGCGTGGGGGATTTGGGCGAGCAACAGCAACGCCACCACTGTGTGCGCTGCATGGGATGGCGTCACCTGCAGCCCCAAAGGGCTAGTCGTTGCCCTGTGAGTCTCATTGCCCTGTGAGTCTCATTGCCCTGTGAGTCTCATTGCCCTGTGAGTCTCATTGCCCTGTGAGTCTCGGTGCCCTGTGAGGCTCATTTCCCTGTGAGCCTCATTTCCCTGTGAGCCTCATTTCCCTGTGAGCCTCATTTCCCTGTGAGCCTCATTTCCCTGTGAGGCTCATTGCCGCCCTTCACTACCCTCGGTGTCCGTTGCCCTAATTGCCCTGTTTTCCTGCCCCACCACCTCCGAACAACCCATCGTTCTTCTCCTCATTGGACTTGTGCCCCGTTTTGAGGCGCCTCAAAACTACACCTCCCTCCGAACAACCCTTCGTTCTTTACCCCTCATTGGCTTTGTGCCCCGTTGCCCCACATGCGTTTCAGTGTTTCACCCTTCCATTGGCTGCTCCTATTTCAATAACCATATTTATTGAATGGATGAATTTTACTATGTGCGGGAGCATGGAGGGAGTCGCAACCGGAACAAGGAGGGGAGTGGGTTGAAAGTGGAGGATGTGGGGTGGCGGAATGGGGGGGGGGGGACTGGATGCTGGGGAAGGGAGCTGGGGTGGGAAATGGGGGAGGGAACTGGGGCATGGGTGCTGATATTGCGTGCTTGCATGCATGCGTGTGTTGGCTGGCAGGGATGCAAAGAATTTCCTCGAAGTGAATCCTCCAGCCACTGGCTCCATTCCTGCCTCCATCACTACTCTCGCTGCTCTGCAATACCTGTCCGTAACCACTCACCCATCCTCTTCTTTCACCATACCTTTCTCTGAAGTGAATCTTCCCCCCACTGACTCCATACCTGCCTCCATCACTTCTCTCGCCAGTCTGCAATATCTGTCCGTCACCACCCACCCACCCACCTACCCTCTTCCTCCACCATGCCCTTTGTGATATTTGCAATATCTGCCAGCCTTGTTATGCTCCGTCCTTCCATCTTGTCCACGCCACAACTGACCATACCCTCGTCTTGCCCTTGCATGCCTCCCTCGCAAAGCTTAACCTTTCTAGTACCATATATCAAGAGTATATTTTATGTTTCTGTTGCCTTTTCCAATATTGTTCTCTTGAATTCTCCACTTTTTGTTCTCTTGACTTCTCCACTTTTTGTTCTCTTGACTTCTCCACTCTTGTTCTCTTGACTTCTCCACTCTTGTTCCTGCACTCCCATCCCACAGTGATCTGACTGACTACATAGATCTCGAGGGGCCCATTCCATCCCTTGCCAGTCTCACCGGCCTCACCCACCTGTGAGTGCTGCTCTTCCATGGATCCAAACCAGGGTGGCTTTTTGTTGGGCTAGGCTTAACCAATATGCTCATCAACGCTTCACTCCTCTTCACTCCCTGATCCTGCACTCGCTAGCTCAATCCCCACTCCCAACTTAATCTCAAGTTGGGTTAGTTTTCGCTTCCACCACATGCTTCGTCATTTCCTGTCCCTTTTCGTTTGCCACACATTGCCAGTCGACTCTACAAGAACTCCTGCTCGTGTCGCTCACTCCACAATATAGTTTCTGTTCTTTCACTTCAACCCGAAACCCCATGTGAGTGGCATGTGTTCCGATTTCCCATTAAATGTGCCACGTGAACCCTGCATGTGTTCAACTTCTGCTTGGATGCGAACGACGTCGTCTGTGTGCGCTCAGTGCTTTTGGAATGGCCGGCAGCAGGCTGACTGGCACTCTGGACGGACTGGCTTGGCTCTCCTCCCTCACCAACCTGCAAACACTGTACGCCCTGCAAACACCGTTCTCCCTCCTACAAGCATGCTAGGCCTGCAAGGAGTTAATGTCAGTGTCACTCTGCTTTCCAATTCGTCACTCTGCTTTCCAATTTGTCACTCTGCTTTCCAATTTGTCACTCACCCACGCCGAATGCCACATCGCTCCAGCATACCTTGCAGAAATCCCCGTGCTACTATCAATGGCTTCTCCTAACCTCACTTCCTTCTCATCACCCAGGGGTCTAATGGGCTTGGCGCATTTCACAGGGGACTTGTCCACCCTGCACGTTCTTTCTCGCCTGAGTAACCTTCAGCAGCTGTAAGCATCGTCGCCATACAAGAACGTACTTTTTTGGCATCCTCTTTCTATTCTCAATCTGCATACAAGAACATATGGTATGGTGGTGTCTCCTCCTTGTTCCTTCTTTTAATCTGCATGTCACCGTGTGACTTGGTCCATACCAGCTCGCAATTGGCCATGGTAGTTCACTCATTATTGCTGATTACATGTGCATGAGCGCAGGAAAGTCAGTAAGCTCAACAACGCAACAGGGGAGATACCCAGAGAGTTTCAGTACATGACTGCCCTCACTGCACTGTAAGCTCCACTCAGGTCTTATTGGACAGGTAAAACAAGTTGATTCATGTGCGCGATTAACACCTCTCCATTCCCTTTGTTGGCATATCTGCAGCTCTATTGGCGTGTATACGTGACAAGCTCTTGCTTTTCTGCCTGCAGGGACCTCTTTTAGACAGGAGATGCTCTTGCCTTGCCTTCCTCCCTGCTGCAGGGATCTATCCTATCTTCGTGCTTTTGAGGCGCCTCAAAAGACAAGACATGCTCTTGCCTTCCCCCCTGCTGCAGGGATCTATCCTATCTTCGTGCTGTGGAGTTTCCGGGTTGGGTTGCTCAAATCTCCAACCTTCAGTATCTGTGAGCTCCTCCTGCTTTAATCTCGTTCTCCACCATTGCCGCACGCCACATTCCCCACGAGAATTGGGCAACCATATGTGCAACGGTTGTGATTGGGCTTGTCTCAGTGCGCTCACTCTTGCCGGCCATTTCTTGTGTGCAGGAACCTCAATGCAGACGGTTCATTCCGGCAAGGACGATTGCTGAATGATGACATCTCTCAGCTCGCAAAACTCACCAGCTTGTGAGTTAGTGTGTTTGGGTGTGCAGCGAGCATGCTTGCTTGGAATGTGGCCCATGGGCTTTTATATTTAAGCGGCTTAGGTTTCCAACTTGCTTGTGAGTGAAGTAGCGCTGTTGAGGTGCTGGAAAAGCAGATGACATGTACAAGTGCGTCTCGTTGAAGTGACTCGCTCACACAGTCTCTGTCTTTGTGCGCCTCGTTCAAATGGATAAACGTACCATGGCGTGGCCCGCTCACACTGTCTCTGTCGCTGCATCGCTGTCTCTGGTAGGGTGGGAAAAAGCACTCGTAATTCCTGCCCTTATTTCTCATGACTCCCACCACTCAATACTCAAGCATCCATTTGTTGCCTGCTCCCACACTCTGCAGGTCTGTTACCGGAAACAACCTGGAAGGCTATCTGACCAATAGCTGGGCGAATCTGATCCATCTACAAGAGCTGTGAGTAACTGTTTTGCCATACCATCCTGCCATGCTGCCACGCTGCCATGCTGCCATACAGTTTCTTTATACCATAGCTTCATGCTGGCCCACTGCTGTGCTGTTGGCAGCAGCATGAACCCCATTGTTGTTGCCATATATGCCCAAGCCTATCATGTCAATACCATCAACACACTGTTATATACACTGATATTCTAACTGAGCGTGTTCGGTTTGGTTCGGCTGTGAATGCCTTGCCGCATTGAACATAAACGTGTTCGCGCTGAAGATTAGTGACACCATCGCTGTCTCTGATGTTAACAGCCGTTGCAACAGTGTTTTCTTATTTGCACAGTGCACACCCCCCCAAACCATTCAGGGTGTAACGAACTCAAATACATTGCAATAGCGAAATGCGCCCACTAGGCGAACACAAACATTTCTGCCCAACATGTTCAACAATTATTGACATCAATCAAAGAGCTCCCGACGAGTGCCTCTGCTCAACACATCAGTAGAGGCACTCGTCCTTCGAGCCCCACAAACCTCCTGCGCCGTGTTTGCGGAAACCAGCGAGTTTGCGACGTGTTTTTCCAACTCGTCGAGTAAAACTCGCTGCGAGTTGAGCACTCGTCACTCGTCCGCAGACGAGCCCAGAGACGAGTCAAGGTAAAAAACTCGTCCAGATACACATATATGGCGAGGTTGAGAAATGCTAACAGCAGCATGAGAATTATTGCCAGAAAAAAGAAAAGTGCTCAGCAGTGATAATTCGATTTTTGAGTTGATTCAAAAACTGAAACATCACCTTAACGAGTCGAGGTAAAAATCTCGCCAAGATGCACGTGTACGGTGAGGTTGAGAAATGCTAATTTGCAACCTGAGGATTGCTGGCAGAAAAAAGAAAAGAGTTTAGTTCAGCAGCCTTTTCAAATGTTGCAAATTTTCTGCGCTGAATCTTGTTAAATATTTCTTTCGAGCCCGCCTGGGGCCTGTTGAGAAGCCTTAAGATCGATGGTCCTGTTGGCGGCTCATTAGATAGATATGCATCGTTGAGTGCCAATGAGCTGGTAACTTGACAATCCAGCTTGGCTCAAGTGTGAAGATTCGAAATATTGAAAAGTGGCGGATCGACTCGAATGAAATTTCTTCTGAGAATTCTCCAAAGGGATTCCAGCATCTGAAGTATACAAAAGCGGCGGATCGGCTCAACGAAACGACTTGCCCAAGTCAAGAGACGAGCTGAGCCTAAGGCTCGGACTTCTGGTTGTGCCTCACCTGCAGCAGTTCCTTCATCTCTGAACACAAGCTTGAGAAAGTAACGAGTCAAAGTCAAACTGTCAAACCGAATTTGGCAGCCACAGGTTTTGTGTTTGAGTCGCACGTTAACAAGTTCGAGTTCTGTTTGATCCAACCTTCGTTATAGTCACATCAATTTCTTTAACGAGGTGGTTCTTCTGCAGTTTTTTGGCAAATTATGGAGGGTGGGGTGTGATTGGGTCACAATAGTGGTATGAAGTTCTATGAACATTCATGAGCTCTGACAAGGGAACTTCAGAAGCACTGAGAGACATTAGTTGCTAACACATCTAACGAGTATAAGTTCAGGGCAAGTAAGCAAATGAAGGAAGGCCAAAAGGATCCAAGTACATAAAGTACATCTACTTACAATCGGCATGGGGAAATGTCTAGTCTAGCTTTACTCGACTTACCTTTGAGAGTCGAGTCGAGCAAAACTGGTGGAGTTTTCCCTTCTCAAGAGGGTTCGTAAACCCAGACATTTTGACGAGCTCTTTAAAGCTCGTCCAAAACAAAAGAAAAAAGTAAAACTCCACTTGAGTCTTGAGCTGCTAACCACCCTCCTCCTCTTCCACCCCCCTCTCCACACCACACTGTTCAAAAACATATGCA